CACACACACACACACACACACACACACACACACACACACACACACACAGCCTGACACAGATTAAATCAGCTGTACTCTTCACGCTTGAGGTGAGTCAACAAAAGGCCTGTTTAAAGCCCACAGAGTGGCACGTTCTCCATCATTTTGGGCCACTGAACACATCACACAGAGGATGTTCTGCAGCACAATCTGCCTCATTATTCTTATTTCACACACAACCACAACTTCACACACATCCTCAGGAATTAGAGGCAGCAGCTGACGAGCTGGTCCGAATGATAAAAACCCGAGTCAGCATAAAACACGTCGATTGTTTCTCTGAAACCAACACTCATTCGTTCAGAATCCACAGAAAAACCCTGGTTTCTTTTAGTCCAGGTCAGGTTTAAACCTTTGCTGCCCTCAGCTGGAGGTAAGAAGGAAAACAGAGGATCTGCTTTAAAACGACAAAAAACTTTTTTAGCTGCGGTTTTAGCCAAACTGTCAGGAAGGACATGTTTCTTGTGCATGACTTGATTGAACTAGATCTGCATCAGGTTTGGGGCTTCTTGGATAAAAAGCAGCTGATCTTTGTGAACAAAAGTCAAAGTGTTTAGATGCACAGAAGCAGCTTCGGTCTGCAGCAGGACAGAAGTAAATTCACTTTGAGCCGCTGCGAACGCCAACAGATGTCTGCAGCAGCAGCACTTCCTTCATTCCCTCCCACAGTCACGCTCCAGCCCTGATCTCCCTCCCGTCGGCTGCATACCAACGGCTGAATATAAAACGCCGCGGCGGTGCTACATAATTCAAACGGGAAGCTTATCATTCGGAGGTAATGGGCTTTTCTTGCTTAAAGTCAAACCTGCTGATGAGGTTTCACAGACAGCCGCATGCTAACTGGAATCTTGATGGGTTTCATTACATAAAGAGCAGGAGACAAAATGATGCAAACATCATATTAAACCTGTTTTTGTTTTTAGAAAACAAAACAAGGCCGACTCCTCCTGACTCAGAACAGCTGCAGTGTGTTTCCTCACCACAAGATGGCAGACTGACCACCTCCAAACCCTCGGATCAACAGTTTTTATGTTAAAAGATTATTAAAATAAAGTTTGGACAATAAATCTTCCACAGACAGATGGAAAAACAAAAACCTCTTTGACGCCAATCATTTATTTTGGGTCACTTTTTAAAATCAGTGCCGCCTGATAAGAGAAAATTTCCCAGGTCTGATTATTAGTCTGACCTTCGACGAAGAGGAGACTCCTGGACCAGCTGCTCAGAGCTGAGGAACACTGTCGTTTATCAGTTCATGAATAAACCTACGACAGCTGAGGGTCTGTTAGATTAAAAGACAAATAAAACTGATGAATGCTTTCTGATCAAAATAAAAATTTATCAAATCAATTACTTTTTTTTCTTGAAGACGTTTCAAAGTGAGAAAACAGAAACTAGTTTTCCATGAAGGAACACGTCTCATGTTACAGTTTTCAACAAAATCCTTGTGTGATCTGGTAACACTCAGCTCATTTCCTGTAAAACCAGCTGGGCTGCAGGTCACTTAACTGGGTTCACTTTAAAGCACCTGTCACATGCACTGGGCCTCATGCAAGAACATGTTCGTATTCTTATCCTAAATTTCTCTTACTTTTGTTCGTACAAAGGGTTCGTAC